TTTATCCCACTTCTTCTTAAACTCCAGGATAAAAGTCTTTGGATCTCCCACACAGTGGACACATTCACTCCTGTAGCAGTCAGTCAATCCTTTTCAAAAGCTGATTCAGTTTGATGAAAAGCAAAACAGCACTGCCCCAGTATCCAGAATGGATACTGGAATTGCCAAATTCACCAATACCATTCTGGCTGGTAACATCCTTAACACAAGTCTCCTGGACCTGTAACACACATTTGTTAGTTCTTTACTAGCTCTGTTTCAGTTATCACTATTTCATATTCTCTGAAATGGAGTATCAGGAAATATAAAATGCTGTTTCAAGAGCTGAGAAACAGACCCAGAAAGTGGTAATTCTATTCTATAATGCAGCAGGCCTGAGTGATATGAACACAATCTAATCCATGCAGGTTCATGCAAGGACAAGGGTGCTCTTTCAGAGGTGCCACCCACAAAGACAGTGTAACCACAGCCAAGACTGACAGGCCTAAAGGAAACTCTGGAGCCTGACAGCACCTCTCCAGGATTCAAGTTCACTGTCTCCCATCTTTCCTGTCCTTACCTATCTCCCAGATGACAGAGAAGAGCTGGAATTCTGCTTGTCAGCATTGCTCAGAAGTCAGACATATTTTGATAGGTAAAGCTGAGGGCTCCACCATTCCTTATCTCAGAAGCATCCAAACCTCTGAGTAGTAAGGCATACACATGGGCCAAACAATGTCTACACTGAACAACCAACTAAAACTTCCAATAAATGTAACCGTTGGTCTCAGTAAAGATTAAAAAAAGGAGAACCTATTTGGAGTTATAGAAATAGCCTGCTTTCCTTGGCACCTACTTCAGAAGAGGAAAAGGAACACACAAATTCTGCTCCTTAGCCTCCATCTTTCCTTTTCCCATTTTACTCTTTCATACCTCACTGGAAAGGAGGAATATTTAGTTAATCTCTGCAGTACCTGAGACATTCAGTGCAAACTAACCAAACCCACTGATAGGAGTAGAATTACAACAAAACAGCACAACTTCTGGCTGGCAGTCCAAGTGTCTTTCCTGGGCTGGGAGAAGAGCAATAAACTGGCAACAGCAGCTGGGCTACTTTCTCTTGATGAAGGAAAACATTCATACATATTATAATAATAAAAAAGACTAAATAAAATAATCCAGACTTTACAGAATAAAATAATGAAGACTTAACCATGTCTTAGGTAGAGTTACAACCAGTAGGATTATTGTTGATTAAGTAAGCCTTTCATCTCTTCAAAACACAAGTTTAATATTTTCTTCAGTAGGCAAAGAGGAGCCTGATGATTCCAGTAGGCTCTGAGTCTGAATGCAGAAGGGAGGGTGATGACTCAACAAAACAAACACGAAAAAGAGGCATTCTGGGAATCATAAGGAGATCCCTTATGATCCATCCTTGCAAACAGAAAATATCTTCAGTTTTTATGCCACTTGTTCAATCACTTTTCTACAGAGAATATTTACAAGAAAATGTAGAATCTGAAAGGTATCTAGTAGAATAACCTCAAGAGGTTTATTGCCTAATTTCTATTTACTTTCACTCCGTAAGTTTCATTAGGTCCTTCTAACTTAATGTATCTGATTTGAGAAGTATGAATGGACCTGCCCTTTGGTATTCTATGTAACACCTAATCTTCAGATCACCCTATAAAGTTTCTTGGATATCCATTTGTGTTTTTTTAAGACAGGTCTATAACAAGAAACTAGCCTCAGTATACATGGTCTTCGTTCTGTGGCAAGGTCTTTTTACAAAGCCTGAGGAAGACAACAGCATCACACAAATTCAGTGATAACTGGGCACTTTAACCTGTGTGTCTCAGTCTTCATATAAAAAGAAATACATTTTTGATAGTGTGCCAAGAGAAAAAAAACTTTACTTGCATATAGAATTTTTTTCCAGGCTAGGAATACATTACACAAAAAGAATCTTGAACTTGACCCTCTTCCTCTTGCCTTGAAAAGGGGCAGAAAAATCTCATGGAAAATTGATACTGCTTGTCTTTGCTTTATGAGTAATTAATATATTTAATCTATTAGCTACTGTGATGAAGTAACAATGACTACTTTGCTTCAGTAACTTGTAGAAATTGTCTCATGATTTTATCTCAGGTAAGCGATTTATTCTGTTCTAATTTCAGTCAACATTGCGGTATCAAAGACAAAAAGTTGGGAAGAAAAACAGATAATGGCTTAGTACCTAATGGGGAAGGGGAATTTAATTCACTTAAAAGATACTGCCACTTAATATATTTAAAAATTAAAAATCAGAATAGAATTTGGTTGATTAACTCCAGCACAATGCCTTTTATGTAGATAGCCCCTGCTGTTTTCAGAGACAAAAGAAGTATCTGATCTGTTAACAAGTGCCCAAAATCCCCTAGAAGAAGAAAGGCTGGCACAAAGTGAGAACCAGCTTAAAGGATAGAATATTCTGTAGAGAAGTGTGAGCCAAGCACCACCACGTGATGCCCAGTACAGGCTCTTCTTTACAATATCTTTATGCTGGTAATGGTGCATGCAGTAAAGGCTCTTGTATGTCAGCCAATCTATTAATTTATATTTCAGGGTGAATAAGTTAAGTGGTTTAACAAGCAGGATTACCATGTTTTAATTCTGTCCTAAGGAAGTGTTAAACCAGAGCCAGAACTATACTGAAGGTCTGTGGCACTGCTGGCTTCCTTTGCTTCCTGCTGGAACAGTGATGTGGTAAAGTTTTCTAGCCTAACAAGTTCAAGACAGCATTTTATTTCCATTTTAAATGTTTCATCATCTGGCACCAAAGCTAATGCAAAAGATAGAAGTGTAAAAAGGGGGAAAAGGCTTTTTTTTTACACATCTGTTCAGTACACTCAACTAGCATTTTAAATTTTTTTTTTAAATGATGCCAAGTAGGCTACTACTAATACAAAACACAATTGAGAGCTTCAACCTTCTAGGTACAAATAGCCCCATAAATAATAAGTGTTTCTTCACACTTAGCCCATCTCTGGTGCTGGTTTTATATGTACTCTGAGGGTGTGATAGAGGGGGCAAGTCCCTACCAGTATATAGGCTCCAGTATTTGATTAATCTGTGGTCAAACTAGTCAATCCAGTATTTTGTTACTATTTAAAATCTACACCCTTTAGTTAGACTTTCAAGAACTCTAAAAGCAAATCAAAAGGCAAAGCAACATTTATCTTTTATGGAAATATTGACAATTCTAGGTAAGCCAGGTAAACACTGCCTCAATTGCAGAAGTCTGGGTTTAAGGAGAAGGCAACACCCTCTCATGTGACTGAAGTAGTTGCCCTAACTAAGCACACTGCAAGTTTTCTTTAGCTGCACTGGCAAAAGCAACAATCAATTTCATATAACGAAATATTTAACAAATCTAAGTTTGCCTAAGTGTCACACTATGTGACAGGAGAAAACTCTGTTCTTATCTGTGGTGTAACCTACATCCCACACTGTAAAGCCTCTGTCCTTGCCTTCCCTCAGACACTTGGTTCAAGTTCTTTCTTCATTCTGTTTTAGACAGACTTAGTGTTCCTTTGTTTCAGATAAAACATTTATGAGCGGTCCTGGAAAACAACTCACTGAAAATTACTTATTGGCATGTGACATATCTCCCATAAATATACTCATTAGTGGAAACCACAGCACTTGCTTTTCCTTGTTCCTATTCCTCAGGAGGTTCGTAAGTGGTTAGGCTCTTGCTGAGAAAGCAGGATGTTTAGTGATTTAAATTGTAATTGTTGAAAGAAGCTGCATAACTCACCATCAAATGCATAAAGCATCATTGAAATAACCTCTATTTGAATTTCAGTATTTTATCCATTTTGCATTTGTTCCTCTGAGGAGAGGATTTATGTAGTCAGCATTTAGGGAGTAACTGTAATTATTTAAGTTCATTAGTTTAATGGTGAAATATTTATCATGGACTTACTCAGATCTCGTGCGCAAACCTAGGTACTCACTGACTGAAAATATTTAAGATAATGCTGTATGGTTTCTTTCATGTTGTCTCTGCTACTATTTAAGAGACATGATACATAACACAAGTTAATTCTATAAATGATGAAGCACGGGTTAATTAAAGGGACTTCTCATGTTACGTATATAAAAGACTCCAACGTGTCAGGCTGAAGCTTCTGCTGTCCATCACATTAAAACCTTTTAATGGTCCTTAACTGCATTACATTGCATGCCCTTTTAGTAAATAGTTTTAAGAAAATGGTCAACTGAAGGCATACCATATCTAAGAGCATGTCATTTACACACAAACACACACACAAAAGACAGCTTCCCTTCACCTGAGGAAATGAGAATGGCAAAAGAAATACATCTACTTGTTATTCTGCTACTGCACAACACCATCAAATATTTAGTTATAAAAAAGTGTGAGCAATTCTAATTGTTCTCCCTGTCTAGTTAAAGGCACTGACAGTAACAGTATCATACAAAAGTTACCAGTAGAAACCATTCTCGTCTTTACTGAGCAAAACTGCATGAGCTAAAGGATTCTAAAAAACTAATCAATAAATTGGTTTTTTATGAGTAGGAATGCAAATTTTATCTTCTTTCCTTTGGACATCGTAACATACGTGTCCACAGTCTGCCTACCTTGTGTGTGCTTCCTAACATCACAGAAAGTAAATGCAAGTCAGGTTTGAAAACAGTATCTTACCAATGTACATTAGAAGTGCTGATGTCACTTTTATAACATCCGAGAAGTAAATATTTTAAACCCAAAAAGGTAACGGTAAATAATTTCATTTCAAAGCATCAGCTTTCTCAGATGTTGATCACTTGAAGAGAGATATGTCTTTGTCCAGAAGCAGAAATGAACAACAAAAAAAATCACCCCAAATCCTGTCATCATACTCAAAGTTACTACTCTGAATTATCCAGACAATAGGATGATTTATTTACTACTGCCTATATTCATGCCATTGATGTATTTGTAAGAATAAACATTTATGTTACAGCAATATACTCACTTCAGCTGTGTTCTTCACTGCATTTCCTACAATCACCACAACTCTTCCTTTAAAGCTCTGGAGCGTGGCAGTCGCTGGACACTGGACGAGATCCCCTTCTGCAGTAAATGCTGATGCAAATGGGACATTGATGCTGCCAGAAATGTGGCCACGGTTAAAGCTTAGGAAGGTCAGTTAAGGACATGTGAAAGGCACAGAAAACTGTGGCACATGTACAGCTGTACGATGAACCTGCTCTTCATCAGGGCTGTTGTGATACAACACTGTTGCTCTTTTGTGCTAGTGTATTTTGATAAACCTCATTTACCGTTCACTCATACGGAGAAAACTTCTGACACTACACAGAAAAAAAAGACAGAATGAAGAGTTGTTTGCTTCATAAAGGACACAGCACTACAGACACTCATTTGTTAAATAAAACACTTGGTGCTAAGGACCAAATATACACAGTATACATATTTTCAGGGATTTTACTTTAAATAATCTCTGGTCTGATAAGCAGCTGGAGCACCTCTTCCAGAGGAGTAATATGCAAAACTAATGAAGTCCTTACAATGAGATCCAAAACTAAATAGGGATTATTGGAAAATCTTCTGAAACCTCCTGCCACCCCCTGAAAGGCCCCTACAATTTTGATTCAAACTGAAATTTTAGTGTACATGCATGCAGATTCCCAGAGAACAAGCACTGGGTATATTATCTGCAGTTCCACTAACAGCGAGTGTGTATTGGCTATTGAAATGCAAAAAGCACACGAGTCCCAAGAGGTCTGAGATATGGTCAGTTCTGCTTCACTTTGAAGGGATAATTCAATCAGGTTTTATGAAAAATACTGAATGTGAAAGTCTCTTCAATAAAAAATAAGTTGGACCACTACTATCTAGCTTTTTATGAATTTGAAAATGTGCCATGACTTCGACCAACTTCTCAATTACTTTCATACTCTACACACATGCCTGGAACCCTCCCCTTCCCCAATAGTACACAGGAACAGCTTTGAAGAGGTGGGAAACAGCTAAGTACTGTGAAAATATACACAAGGTCAAATATCCAGACCAGTCACTATTACTGTACTTGAAGAAAGCTAGTTGAATTAATAATTAAATTCAGAATCCTTTTTAATAAAGGAGCTGCCTTAAATTGAGGTAATTTTTAATTGACCCAGGTTAATACTAGCATTCACTTCTTGTTACTTATGTAACAGCTTCAGCTTTATGATCATAATTATTACAGTGTGGCAAAAATATGGCAATATAAAAGCATTTGAATGAACAGAAGACAATCATGTATTATTCCTTAACACTGTCAGTTGGTTTCTACTTTGAAGGGGAAAATGACAACTTTCCTTCACTAGTCTGTGCCAATCCCCTTTCCCCAATAACCATATCACACTCATTGCTAAAAGTTCTGAAACAATAATAATTTGCACAGATAATTACTTTGGACAGATCTAGCTGCTCATGACTATGCCACTGAGCATGCTGAACTACTCAGAGAAACTTGACATAATCTTTTAAAAGAGAAATAAATTTGATATTAACATTAGTACCAAACTGGATAGATCCAAAATGCATTTGCTGTCATTCACACTCTCCCTAATCTTAAGCGACCATCTTGAGCATTCCAAAAGTAAGACAATTAACAAAGAGGCCAGGATCTTGTGCTTACAGACTGAGAGACCATAAGTATGCAGCTATAATTTTCATAACAGGAATGGAAGGTTGCCAGTATCTCTGCTAACATGTTTAATGAAATGAGCCTTAGACAAATTGCTGGCCAACAGAGACACTGTATCACCTTTTCAATAGAAAGGCTTCTGTTACAAAGCTGCTGATTGGGAAAAAGCATTAGGAGCTCTTGGCCTTGCAACATGAGCTTCATTACAACACAATGCCTTAGCTTTCAAATACATCCTAGTATGAAATATGAAGCATGCTTGATACTTGTTGAAAGTCTTCTCATGCTTTTTTGAAATCACATTGAAAATAACGTGAAAGTGAAGTTTAGCATGACAGGCAGAGGTGGTGATGAAGACCGATAACAAAACATAAGAAATGATCCTATTTTTTAAGAACCTCACAGTGGTCTGTCACATTTTAAAAACACATGCCACAGTAACATAGAGACTGCCTGATCCCGTGGTACGGTTCATTGGAAATTTTCTGACAGTTTCCTTACTGTGAGAATGAATGGGACACTGAACAGAGTATTCCTGTGGTTTACCATTCAGAACTGCTGACAGATTAATAGCTTTCTATATACCATATTTCTTTTACAACTGACACACAAACCAATGCACTCTAGGGATAATTCTAATACCTACCAGGCTGCCTTTTTAAAAATGACATTCCCTACTTCCTAGTACCAGAAAGATTTAAGACCACTCATTCTTTAAATGACAGGGTATTTTAGTTGACCAGAAACTCCGACCAGACCAAAACAACAGCAGCAGTGATTACAGTGCATAGCTCAGGCTATGAAAATTTTCTCTCTCAAGTATGCCTCCTCATTCAAGACATATAAATGGAAAGTCTGATTAGAACTTTCTAGTATGTAAGACAGTCTCATGGAACCACTTACTTCATAGCAGTCAAAAATAATTGAAACTTTGAATCACCTCTGCTAGAGTAGAGTAGGATGAGAAAAACAGCAGAGTAGAACCTATTATCAAGCTATTATGAAAACTATAGAAACATTTAACCAAACAAGTTGCATCTGACCTTGATTATAAAATAAATAAATCCATTACTGTACACAGATAATAGCCTTTCAGTGCAGTAAATGTAGCTGAGGCATTTTATATTATTTGCGCTCTTTCTGCATTCTTTTACATGATTTCTAGGAAATAGGTTAAATAATTAATAACAGAATGATACATGTAGAAATAGAAACACTACTTACCTCAGTAACATCAAAGCTTTCTATGTAGTAATAATAACCTTCTATAGTTTTTAATCCTGGGCACTTCGCTTTTAAACTGGAGACTAAAAGGTATTATCCCTTTGTCCTGATTTGAGCCAGTCAAACTGTGACACCCTTGATGAAGTAACTATTTCTCAGAAAACACCCTGAATTTTCAGTTTCCTGAATAAAGAGGATCACATTTTCAACAATCTAGATCCAGGAGTAAAGAAGCTGCTGGAGTTCAGAACATAAAGAGTCAAACTACTTAGATATATGAATCTCTACTTAATTGTACTCCTCAACTGATGCATGAAACTAATGAATGCAAACAAAAGAAAAATTACCTTTTTTGTGTTCTTTTGACCATTCTGTTTTATCTACATAGCAGATCACATTACAGGTTCAAGTTTGGCATACAGTAAAATCATAATTCCTCAATAATAACAGGTTTAATTTAGAATAGTCCAATTATGTTATTCTGTTTACTATGTAAGATTAATTTCACTTTTATACAGTAAAAATGTTTAGTTTTCTGCTTCACCCTGCTTTGTCATAAATATTGCAAAATATTTAACACAGAAAAATGTTAGTGGCAGTGTTTTTCTGCATATACAGTTGCTTTTAAAGTGGTACTTTACCAAACTAGATTAAAAAAAGGTTGAAACATTTGAATATTTACTACAAATTTTTGCACAAATATTGGCCTTGATCTACTGTTCATTTAGTTGTCTAGACTTTATGCTTTTCTAACATGCATACAGTATGTCAACAGCATTTGTTAAGACTCTAAGATCTTTTCTAACGCTAAAGATGTTGGGAGCCTGTTCAATCTCAGTCACTGAAGATCTTTAAGAACAAGCCAGACATACATAAAAGGAATGATCCTCCTTTCTCAAAGCAAAAGGCTGAGAGAGGATGTTTAGTCTAGAGAAGACTGAGGGGATCTTACTAATGTATATAAATATCTGAAGGATGGGTGTCAAAAAGGAGGAGCCAATTTCTTTTCAGTCATGCCCTCTGATAAGACTAGGGGCAATGGATGAAAGCTAGAGCACAAGAAGTTCCACCTCAACATGAGGAAAAACTTCTTTACTGTGTTACAGAGCACTGCAACAGGCTGCCCAGGGAGATCATGGAGTCTCCTTTGGAGACTTCAAAGACCCATCTGAATATGTTTCTGTGTGACCTGCCCTAAATTCTATGGTGGTCCTGCTCTGTCAGGGGGATTGGACTCAATTTTCAGATGTCCCTTCCAACCCCTATGATTCTGTGAAATGTTTGACTAAAATTAATTATTCTTTTGTTATTTTTCTATTGAGTATTAAGAATGAAGAATGGTAATGTTTTCTAACTGAAAGAGGGAAGATTTAGGTTAGATATCAGGAATAAATTCTTCACCATGAGGCTAATAAGGTGCTGGAATAGGTTGCTTAGGGAGATTGTTGATGACCCTTCCATGGAGGTGTTTTAGGCCAGGTTGGATGGGGCTTTGTGCAGCCTGGTCTAGTGTGAGGTGCCCCTGTTCATGGCAGGCATGTTGGAACATGATGATCTTTAAGGTTCCTTACAACCTTAACCATTCTATCATTCCATTAATTATACCTTGTGAAACAGCAAGCTAAGAGTACATCTGCTGCAAAAACATCTACATCACCTTTGGTATTACGAAAGGAGCAATACTTAAAAAGATTATACCATTCAATAACAGGTATAATCCCAAATGTTCAATATAAGGTTAAGATTTACCTCTAATAAAATATTGTCATTATTCCCACTTACAGATGGATCTTGATGAAGATCTGCATTCCTGGTAAAGAACACTTATAAAGAACTCCCCCTTCCAAAACCCAAATAAACCCAGCCCCAGAACTACACTACTTCAGAAAACTACACTACTTCAGAAAAACGATCTAAAAATATGCCATGTGCAAAGACTATATATTTGAAAAAGAACAAATAAGTAAGGTTGAGACAGGGTAGCAACTCTGACAAAAATACAGATTCAAGACACTTTAAGACTTGTCTGATTATATGCTAACCATATGGCTGCATTACATGACAGTAACAAGAGGGCATTCAACAGGAATTGATATTCCACTGAAGGACTGGCAAAGCATGTGAGCTATCAGTGCTTCTCTGGCTCCTTTATTTCTACTTAATTGCAATATTGGTCATATTAAATGGTAAAGGTCTGCTGACAACAACTGTAACCGAAAAAAGTAGCATTAAACCATTTGTGCTACTAGTACAATGTGTTTTCACTAGAACTACTGCTTAAAACGTGAAGGCAAAAATACATTTGTCCTCTGCCAAATAGGTCTCTCCATAACAAAAAAAATTTCCCTTGGTCCTTCCACTGTACCTCTACCATGTACCTTTCCATTATGTACTGTTTTAACATCTCACTGCCTGCAGACAGTGAGGAAGTAATTGATACAAATATGATTTTGAAGGATACTCTTCACTGTTACGGATGTCCACCACCAGAAGCTTGGGCTTGCTAGGCTTTGTTTTCTTTACAGGTGTTTTGGAATGACTAGGTCCTGTCAACTCACACAGATCAATCAGATCTTCTGCTGAAATTCGTGGTGACACCTCTGCCTTCAGGTCATCCAACTTGATGGCATCCCTAGACTTTTAAAAGAAGAAATTAATATTAGAGGTGATACAATTAGAGAACACACGGTGTTCTTTGAAACTTCTTATTTGGCAATTTCAAAGTGTAACAACACAGACAGAAACATATCTTTTCCTTATAACTCTGATCTAGTCTGAGTTAAACAATCCATACAGAAAAGCTCCAGAGCAGTGCCAAATGCCTATCTGCCAATTATAGCCCTGTTTTCTGTTGAAGTTACTAAAAAATAAAATGGTTTGACAATCTGTGCAAACTATTTTAGTTTGTGATTTGTTAACGAATCATTCACTGTGGCTGAGGGGGTCACAAACTCACAGAACATTTCTCAGCATCAGAAATTAAGTCAATTGGCTAGAAAGCACTCTCTGAAAGGAGAAGCTGAAAGGTCTCATGCTTGAAGTGGGAAAGAAGGGTAGCAATTGGAGATTTGTCACAGAAACTGCAGGGATGCCTCTGTAAGATACTGAGTTATCTTAAAACCAGGTATTACCCCAGCCCAAAGACTAGACACAAATCAGGACACCAGAAATTTAAGAAACAGTCCTGTACTATAACCCAGAAAATACATTCCTCTGTTTTGGAGGATGGAGGAACTGGGGGACAGAACAGATGATGAAACAACACACAGAACACCAAACACCTGGTAGTATTCAAGCAACTAGTTTGACAATGCTTAAATTATTTTTCATAAGAGCCTTCACTGTGAATTATATAAAAAAATATTCCTTAGCACTAGCATTTCTTCACTTTACATTCTTAAAAGCTCATGCATATCTAAATTAAGAAAAAATATCAACCCTCCTTATTTTTGTGAATAACACAGAATGTGGAAATCACAGAATCACAGAATTATCTGGGCTGGAAGGGACCCTAAAGAACACCTAGTCCCAACCCCCCTGCCATGGGCAGGGACACCTCCTGCTCGACCAGGTTGCTCAAAGCCCCATCCAACCTGGCCTTGAACACTTCCACAGTTTCCCTGGGGAAACCTATTCCAGTGTCTCATCACCCTCACAGTACAAAATTTCTTTCTAATACCTAGTGTCTTTCAAATCCTGTATTTTCATTAATTATCAAGACATACAAATCTGTGAACATCAGCAGAAAAAAGAAAATATACGCACTGTAAGACAGCTGTGAAATGTTTGCAGTTATTTCTCTACCTTCCTTCAGTGATTGTTCCACACTGCTGAAACTGTTAAGTGCCAGCACAACTATGCTTCCATCAAAAAGAATTAGCCTGACTTATGCAAAATAAAGCATGAGGAAAAACTCCAGCTTGCTCAAGAGGGTCAAACTCAGATTCTTTACAAGCATTAGGCAAAAAGATCTGCAGCATTCTCTGGGCTTTTCCCTTTAGAACACTGATTTGCAAAATCTATTTGAAGATCTAAATGTTAAAGGACTGCTACAGTCACTTTTTCTATTATCACATACGAACATGAGACTCTTCTATCTCTCAGCTACCCTGGTGAAACTTCCAGAACTGTATCTGCACTAAAAGGTCCTCATATCAATTCAATTAAATGTTGCAAGTGCTTATTTTTAAAAACTTTAATATACTATGTAATTAAAAATACAGTATCATGCACCATGGTGTTAGGGAGTTAATAAATTATGCTTATTTGTAGTCTTCTGCAGCAAGAACTTTTTTCCTGTTAGTACCATTGCCACAATCAGAAAAATCACAGGTAAATTTTAAAGCAGCTTGTTTTCATTATGCTTTAATCCAGCAGATACCAAGGTAACAGGTTGTCTACACATTCAAAAACCCCTCACATTATAAAACTCGATGTACTCCAAGAGTTAGGTACATCAAAGATACATTCATGGAGTTTCGTCATCTTATAACAGAACTGGTTTGTCTTGTGCAACCATTGTGCTTCTCCTGGGCAGGAGGTCAAATAGAAGCAAAAGTTGTTTATAACCAAGTCCACAGCTGTTTCTAGTGAATTATTAGAAAGGAACAAACAGAATAACTAGAATTAATTACAGGAAGCATCTTCTGAAAGATCTTCAGACTGCTTTGATGTCTTATTCTTGGGGAAGATGACCTATATTAATGAAATAGCCAACCATTTCTTAATGGAATATTTGCTTATGCATTTGTTCAAAACGGGACCACAGGCATATAGAGATGGACTACAGAAAATGAAAAAAAAACAAAACAAAAACAAATAGAACATTATAGTGCAATACTTCTGCCATCAAGCCTATACAATGCAGTCAAAATGTAGGTCTAAGAGTATTGGAGTAGCAAATTTTCTGCTTTGAAAAAAATACTCTATTTACATTACCTTGATTTAGTTTGCAGTGATCACACCAATTTAAGACATTAAATGCTTATAGCACATGAAAGAAATTCAAGAGAACGAGTAATACACTGAAAGCCATGGAGGCATTACTAATTATGACTAGCCCAACTGATTGTTGTTAGCTCTAGCTTTTGTTTTGGTTTCTAAACATGCTAGTTTATCGTTTAATCTGAGGAATATTCCAAGTTTGGAGAACATGTCAGAGAGAGCAGAGACACATACATGCCTTCCTGCACTACATCTCAGAAAAAAAGACTTCTTAGACAGTACTTTAGCAGTTAGAAACACCTTTGTTGTAAAACAGGTTATCAAAAAGCACTCCAAATTACAAACAAAATTGGTAATTGTATGTCAGGGAATATACTAGCTCACTAAACTACTTTTTGCCTTTGTATATGATAGTATTCAAAATGAAAGAATCTACAAATTGCTAGACTTAGCACATATTTTTCCTCCCAAGTTCAGAATAATAGAGGTGTTGATGCGTTATAATTAGAAAATTGCTTATTTTCTGGATAATGTATAATTTGTTTCAACAGAATAGCCAATACTCAAGGTAGACCTGATTTCTTAAAACTAACAATGTGATAGAGAACATAGTCACTTCCCAGTTGAGTAGCTTGATTTTCCCAAGAGGGGCCCAAGGAATTGTATCAAAAGGGAGGAGGAAGAAGAACAAAGTAATACTCTTCTGACAAACTTCAGACTTGCCAAATGAATTCAGCAGTTCATGTCTATGGGATTCACAGCAGACACAAGTTTGCAATATCCAAAGAAGGTAGAAAGAATACGGATTAAATAAATACACATTTGGCCAAGACAGCTTAATTTGCCTGATGACTAAAACTGGCAGACATAACTACACTCTCCTTAGGCAAACGGCTTCTCTCAGGAGAGTATTTGTGGAGGAAGACCAAGGAAGGAAGGGAAGCAAATCTGCTGCAAAGGGAGTTTAATCCCTAAAGCAGGGTCACAAAATTACAGGTAACAATAACCAGGTAGCAAAGATAGGCATCATAAATGTGGACTATACACGTGAAGCTGGCTGACATGACCTAATTTAAGTCTTCTGGAGAAACATTTACATTATGATGGACTCTAATTATGCAACCACTTCCTATTTTGATTTATACAATTCTCATCTAATTCAGCAGATGTAATGAACGCCTCAGGAAAGAATAAAAGCTTAAGAGGAAAACATGAAGTCTACAGCAGAAAACAAACCAGTCTAAATTAATCCATATGATACAAAAACTTTTCCTCCTTATCCAAAAGTACAAAGCTACAAAGAAATGCTCCATAGGTAGACCCTATATGTCCTGTGAATAAGTTTTAATAACCAGGACAAGCATTTTTTTTTCCCCTTTAACTGGGTTGAAAATAAGGAGAAACATTCAACTGTGAATTTTTTCTTGGCTTTGACCTCGTATGTCCAGATCTGCCTAAGTGGCACATTTAGTGATACAGTATCTCTATGTGGGCTTTGAACAAAGCTGCAGCCTAGAGCTCCTTGACAGACTTGCAGGGAAATATAACTGCTGAATCAATTTTTTCTTTTAACAACTGTTTTAGCAGACTGATTTATTTCCTCCAGATTGCAAAGTGAAATATGTGCATGCACATATAAGATCATCTTTCCTACTTCCATTAAAAAATTTGACTATATCTGCTGTATCTGGTGACAACTATATTTCATGACAGTTTCTCAGAGGAATTGTCTAATCAGCTGTCAGTCAGCGAAAGTTAAAAATGGTTAGCACCAATCTGTCAATCCTGCTACCCAGTCCTCTTCACATCTCCTCTTCATACCATCATCATGCTACAAATACCTGTATTTTGGCACTGACTTTGGTTCAGACAGTTCTGGAAGCTGTCATGGTCCTTACCACCCAAATCTTGCAGATGGTTCTGAACCTTTAAAATCTTTCTTGCTCCTCTCCACAACAATGTTAGAGCTGCTATCTATCACCTTCTTTGCCTCAGCCTGACCAATTAAGCAGAGATGCATGAGATGCAGGCTGACATTTTAGACTGGAGGCTTAGCGTTTGTCCTGACTGCTGAAAAGATCCCACTGTCCATGTCACTGGCAAAGATATTAAACAGCATCAGTCCCGGTACTGACCCCTGAGGAACAGCATTCCATCTGGACATCGAGCTATCGACGACAACTCTTTCAGTGTGACCATCCAGCCAAATCCTTATCCACCAAGTGGTCCGTCCACCTAATCCGTATCTTTCAAACTGAGATACCAGGATGTCATGCAGGACAATGTCGAACACTTTGCACAAGGCCAGGCAGATGACGTCAGTTGACCTGCCCTTGTCCACTGGTGCTGTGCTCTCATCATAAAAGGCCACTAAGGTTAGCTGCTCTCAGAAAAAAATTATGGCACTGATAGTGTCTTAGTAATTAGTTACAAATAGCCAAGAAAATTTGAACCAGCAGTAGAATTCAACTGAGATTTTGATTACTTAAATTAAGTTGCAGGTAGTCACATCTTCAGACAGCTGCTTACAATATCTTGTTGAATTTCTCATCTGCAATTTTTTGCTCGGTTAAAACAATGATGAGATTGTACAGATAATCCCACAAACAAAAATTTCCTGAGAGGAAAAAGAATATTGAAGCTCATGTCTGAGGTCTGCTTGCCTCCCAGAAGTTTCTCTGACAACACCCTAA